GCCCCTGGATCCCTGGAAGTGTCCAAGGCCAGGTTGGACGGGGCTTGGAGCAACCTGGGCTGGTGGAAGGTGTCCCTGCCCATGGCAGGAGGTGGGATGAGTTTTAAGGTCCCTTCCCACCCAAACCATGCTGGAATTCTGTGATTCTACGAAGGCAGAGGGAATATGATCCTTCCTAAATGGAGAGTGCAGCTGCTGCTCATTGTCAGGGCTGGGACACAGGTTCTGACTCCTGAAGAACACTCTGGAATTGGGAACAAAGCCCCAAAACGTTGTGTCCTTCACTACACTGGAGATTTGCCCCCATTCCATGGGGCCTTGGCAAGCCAATGCTCTGAATTATTCAAAGCTGCTGCCATCAGAGCTGATGTATTAATCATGTCCCAGCTCCAGTTACCCTTGGAGCAGAACTGACCTGCTTGGCATCAAACATGGAAAAACAAATCCCATTGCTCTCCTCCCACAGAAGAGAAAATTCCCTGCAAGAGATCTCAATGTCTGCAACAGTTCCATGTTCTTTGGCTACCAAGAGATGGTTCTGTATAGCCTTGACCAAGATTTCCACTGGGAATCACATAGCTAAGCATACAGAGCTCAAGTGTGGTTTGGTACTGAAATATTTCAGTGACTTTTAGGGACTTCAAGTGACTGTTACTCACTTTTCTGCCCCAGCTGGAATGCTCACCTACTAATTCCTTCCTGGATATCCTTCACAGCTGCCAACAGCTTCTGCAGGCCTAAAAAAGCTTCCTCAAACGAAGACTTTGCAGCCATAGTCACTGCACTGGGGTCCAACTTCTGGAATATTTCAATACTAAAATTAAAAAGAAACAAAGAAGAGACAGAGGAAAGCAGTTAATAAAAATCCTCAGAGTGCAGAGAAACTCAGTATCTGTTGTGTGCATTGTATGTGGTCTACTAAAAAACTAGATCAAACATAAACTTATACTAAACCCATGTTGTGTAAAACAGTCTCAGAACAAAATAACCCAACTAAAAGCAACGGTAAAACACCCAGATGGAAAAGGGGTTCATTTCCTGCAATTCTGAGTTTCCATGAGAAAGGAAATTCATCCCTAGACTCTGCAGTTGGATTTTATTCAGTGAAGGATTTTGCTTCACAAGAAAACGTTTTCTATTTCAAACTGATTAAAGGTTAAAAATAAGGTAAAGAATTTCATAGACCTCCACTGGATTTGGAAAGAAATAACCACAAGAAATCTTGGAGCTTGAACGCCTCTTTTCATGGATAAATATGAGATTTCCATGAATGTCTCACATTTGTGGGGTTTTCAACAACCTTTTCCAAGGCAGTTTATTTCAGTTGCTGCCCACAATAGAGCAGCAGAAGGACATAATTTGCATGCTCCCAACTTCTTTGTGTGACAGGTTGTGTGATTTTTTGTGGGGTTTTGGGGTTTGATTTTGATTAATTATCAATAGATTTTATTCTAAAATAGTGGGGGGAAAAAAGCTCAATTTTTAAGTGTGCTTGTTTGAAAATTATTTAAGGTTCTGTAGAAGTTCTGAGCTCCTTTAGCTTTACCTGTACAGGTTCATTGTGTTCCAAACACCCTCAAGGACCGACCAGATTTCCTGGTGCCTGCTTTCCTGAGCCACATGAAAGCTTGGATGTAACTCTTTTTCTTCAGGGTTTGGCAGATTGGGTGTCGTGGCTTCCATTTTTTCAGCATTTTCTGAAAGAACCATGATGTCTTCTGATAAATGCTGCTCACTGTCTGCCCTCACCTTATAAAACAGTTCAGCAAACAAATCATGAATGTATTTGGTTCCTAACTTCAGAAAACTAGAACACTTCTACACACTAAGAGCAGTAGTGAGGGACTCATAGTGTGGGATTCCTTCTTCAGAAGGAGAAACAGCAATTTAATCTTTAAGGCCCATCAGCTACAAATGCAACAGAAAGCTAAGACAAAATGTTTCTCAGTCACCCTCCCAATACTAACACAAATAGTGGGGGGAAAAAGGAGTCTCCCAAATATCTACAGATATTCACCACGTGAAAATTAAAGTTAAAGTTGGGGTCTGTTCACTCTGAAAAGATACCAGCGACAACATTTCCTGCAAAACTTAGTGGAAATGGCAAGAATACTTAAGAAATCTAAGCCAGGTTTGTAATATGACCATGGAACAAGTTGAGGTGAACAAGCACTGGAGCTCCTCTCACCTCTGCCAGCCTCTCCCACAGTTTGGTCAGTGCAGTGTAAGCCCGGGGCAGGACACCGTTGTAGTCCGACCTCGAGCTGAAAGCATGGAGTAATTTTTTGGATTCCTGGAGCAAGGCACGCACTGTTGAGGAGTCAAATGGTTTATCTGATATTTAGACATCAATATAAGAGGAAAAAAAATAAACGTTAGGAGTTATCAGTCTTGGCAGGCAAATTTAATACTCAAATATCCCAAGAGAGGCAGAACCACAGAATGGCCTGAGCTGGGAGGGACCCTCAAGGACCATCCAGGCCAACCCCTGGCCCTGCACAGACCCCCAACAATCCCCCCCTGTCCCTCAGAGCGTTGTCCAAACACTCCTGGAGCTCTGGCAGCCTTGGGGCCGTGCCCACTGCCCTGGGGAGCCTGGGCAGTGCCAACCACCCTCTGGGTGAGTTTAACAGGAACATCTGATAAAATCAAATCTTAAAAGACATCTTTAAACAAGTCAAAGGTTTGTGGGGGTTTTTTTGTTGGCTTTTTTTGAAAACAAACCTCCCTGTCCTCATCTGCCACATCAAGTGTCCTTTGCTACTCCATAATTCCTTTGGCAATAGATCATTTGTAGATTATTTGCCCACATAACACAGGGGCAAAGCAAATGATTATTTGCTTTTTCAAAATAGTTCAGAGACTTTGGCAACCATTAATACACACTGTCTGTAACTATAC